CGACCGCCTTTGGCGTGAAAATCCAAAGGCATCGACCGGCGGCGACCGGGCGCGCGAGGCCGACGCCCCGACCCCGCGCGTGACGCCTTTGGCGTGAAAATCCAAAGGCCTCGACCGCCTTTGGCGTGAAAATCCAAAGGCATCGACCGGCGCTCGCGTGAAACGCCCACGCGCGACGACCTCGCGCCGACGCGACCGCGCGCGCGGTCGAGCGCGTCGCGCCGAGCGACGACGGCGGACGCGCGCGCGGTGATCGCACCCGTGGACGGGCGTCGCGCGACGTGCGCGGGTGGTGACGGCGTCGCGGACGCGCGCGACGATGGCGATGGCGATGGCGACGGCGCGGGCGGCGCGCGGGGTGGGCGTCGGACGACGCGCGCGACGCGACGCGCGCGGTGACGCGCGGGTGGTGACGGCGTCGCGGACGCGCGCGCGATCGGGCGTCGGGGGGAGGGGTCGAGGCGAGGCGGTGGTGACGCGCGCGGACGCGTTCGGGGGGATGGCGGAGAAGCTGGATAAGGCGTTCGCTTTGCTCGACGGGGCGAAATCGTTGAACGCGGAGAACGTCAAGGCGCCGTTGAAGGACGTGCGACGGGCGCTGTTGGAGGCGGATGTGTCGCTGCCCGTCGTTCGTCGGTTCATCGCGCGGTGCGAGGCGAAGGCGGTGGGGATGAAGGTGACGAAGGGGGTCGAGCCGGGGCAAATGTTGGTGAAAGCCGTGGCGGACGAGCTGTGCGAGCTCATGGGGGGCGTCGGCGCGGAGGGGATCAAGTTCAGGGACGACGGGGAGCCGACGGTGATTTTGATGGCTGGTTTGCAAGGCGTGGGGAAGACGACGGCGTGCGGGAAGCTGTCGTTGGCGATGCGCAAGCAAGGGAAGACAGTCTTGCTCGTCGCCACCGACGTGTACAGACCGGCGGCGATTGATCAATTAAAGACGCTCGGGACGCAGATTGGGGTTCCGGTGTTCGACATGGGCGTCGACGCGAGCCCACCCGAGGTCGCGGCGAGAGGGGTGCGCAAGGCGAAAGAAGAGGATATCGACGTCGTCATCGTCGACACGGCGGGTCGTCTCAACATTGACGAAAAGCTCATGAGCGAGCTCAAGGACACCAAGCTCGCGACGAAGGCCGACGAGACGCTACTCGTCGTGGATGCGATGACGGGCCAAGAGGCGGCGAACCTCACCGCGAGCTTCAACGAGGCGGTGGAGATCACGGGTGCGATTCTCACAAAGATGGACGGAGACACGCGCGGCGGCGCCGCGCTCAGCGTGCGCGAAGTTTCCGGAAAGCCCATCAAGTTCACGGGCGTCGGTGAAAAAATGGACGCCCTGGAGCCTTTCTATCCCGAACGCATGACGAGTCGCATTCTCGGTATGGGCGACATCGTCAGTCTCGTCGAAAAGGTGCAGTCGGAGGTAAAGGAGGCGGAGGCGGAGAAGCTCAAGGAGAAAATCTTGAAGGCGACGTTTGACTTTAACGATTTCGTCACGCAGCTCGAGATGATGAACAACATGGGGAGCATGAAACAAATCATGCAAATGCTTCCAGGTACGACCAAACTGAGCGAATCGGAGATGGAGGCCGCGGAGAAGAGCTTCAAAATCGCGAGAAGCTTGATCAACTCCATGACCAAGGAGGAGAGGCAGTTCCCAGACATGCTCGTCGCTAGTACCACCGCAGAATCGCGCCGAGCGCGCATAGTTAAGGGTAGCGGTCGTACCGAGGCGGACTTAGCGCAGCTCATCATCATGTTCGGTAGCATGCGCGGGAAGATGCAGCAGCTCAGCGGAGAGCTCGGAGGCGAGGCGGGTAACGTCGGTTTACAGCCGCAGCTCTCCGCCGCGGAGCTCGAGAAACTCACGACTAACAAGCTGAGAAAGAACATCAAGCCCGGTATGGTGCGACGACTCAAGTCAAAAAAGATTCCGATCGCGAAAAACGGCGATCGAATGGGTATCAGCGCGTCAGCGGATTGAAATTAGCGGCGAATGATTAATACAGAAACAGAGGAGCGCCGTCCATCTCTTTCCTTCTTACACGCGAATCCAAGCCTTGTCGCGCGGAGGAATCCTGTAGTGCGACGCGAGAAAGTACTCTTTGACCGAGTACGAGCATACGCGACTCAGAGTTTCAACGAGCCACGAGTCCGGTCCGACGAGGTATCTGTTTCTCGGGGCGTGCGATTTGATCGCCTTGACCACGGCGGCGACCACTTTGGTGGGCTTCGTTCCCGCAGCCTCTTCTTCGCGCATAATTTTCTCCGCCCGAACGGCTACGGGATCGGTTTCGAAATCGATCGACTTGAAAACGCTCGCCATGCCGGGCTGTAAGTCTCCCGGCTCGACCAGGCTCACGCGTATGCCTGAACTCTTCGTCTCCATGCGAAGCGCATCCGTATACACCATCAACGCCGCCTTAGACGCGCTGTACATCGATTGAAACGGAATACCAATGCGCCCAGCGATAGACCCGATGTTGATAACGTTTGCGTTCTCGCTGAGGTACGGCAAGGCGTGACGAATGACACTCACGGGACCGAGAAAGTTAGTTTGCATGATCATGTCTGCGTCGGCACGAGGCGTCTGTTTCGCCCACGAAGCGAGGCAAACGCCGGCGTTGTTGATCAACACGTCGATCTTTCCGTGTCGCTTCGCGATGGACTGTATGCACTCGCGCACAGAGTCATCGTCGGTGACGTCCATGGTCAGCAACGGATGCTCCTTTTCACCTTGCTCAGCGCCGATCGGCACGGATGGGTCGTTTTGTTTTGCGATATCCTCCTTCGATGGCGTACCGAGGCCGAAGAAGCCGCTCTGTTGTCGAATAAACTTCTTCGCATCCGCTCCTTTTCTCGACGTTCCGTACACGATCGCGTTCGGAAACGCGTCGCGAATACCCTCGAGCAAGAGCGTTCCCAATCCACCGCCGCCGCCCGTGACGAGAACCACTCGCACGTCCCTCTTCTCTCGCGACGCGCTCTCGCTCGCCGAGAAGCATCGCCGAAACAATCGCATGACGATCACGACGCACAGGACGATGAGGAGAACCCTCGCTTCCATCGCACACGCGCTCGAAGCGACGACGACGCTCGCTCTTCGCGCGACCGCGCGGCCCGTCCCCTCGAGCGCCTTCGCCTTCGAGTCAATCCCTCTCGCCACCGCCCCGAGCGCTCGATCAACGAACGTCGTGCGACGCACGATGTGTTGCAAATAATCGCTCGCGATCGCGTACCGCGCGACCGCAACCGCGACCGCGCTCTCCGCCGGTCCGCCGC